ATCATGTTTTTTTTAAACTGATATATTAAATTTTAAAGCCTAAATATTCTTTGGACAGTTGTGGACATGTGGACATGAATATGGGCAAAAAAGTCTTGGACATAGTAGACATGACAACACTGGTCTAGGTTGTTATTGTATAATAATCTTATAGTAGTTCATAAAATAAATAGAAGCAGGATCACTTAATACAAAAAAAAAAATAAAAAAAAAATATCATATATATAAATTCAAATAATAATATACAAATTTTTTAAAAAAGATTTATTACATAAAATATAAACACTACCATATATACTATATACTGTGTAATATTACAAAAGATTTTATGCAAATTGTTTAGTAATCTTATCAAAATAATTTAAAATTTTTAAATATATAGCTTTTTTTTAAAAAAAAAAATTCAGCAATCTTGCAATACTTTATTAGGCTTTAATATTTAACTCACAAGAAAAATATAATTTTTAGCTAAAGCTTACCTAAATTACAAGTATTAACTAATCTGGCTTTTTGTAATACTGAAATATTCAAATTAACCATGTTTGATCTGCTATAGTAAAGTTTATCTCTATATTAAAAAACCCTGCAACTAAATACTTCAATATATTACTAAATAGTATTTATGGTCTATCAAGATTATTTTCTTTTCTAACTTTCTTCTTCTAGCTTCCTAAGCTGAAGAAATAAGAAATTATAGTTTTTAACTAATTTATAAAAAAAAAAATACTAATATAAAAAAAAAGAAGACAAGACAATATGAGAAAAAAAAACTACCTAAATAATAAGAAAACAGATAACAAAAAACAAATAAAAGAAGAAAAAAGCAAAAAAAAAAACAATCTATAAAAGCACTATTATAGTCTGTGCTAGGCATAGTTGTAAAAATTATATACTAAATTAGCCTTATTCTTCAAATTTTCTTCTAACTATACTATTTTATCTGGGTTGGTTTGTTTGTTAACCAAAGCACTAATTATTTGTTATGTAGTGTAGAAGTATTATTGCCAAAATAATCTCATGTTTATATTCTACTTTATCTATAAGGTGTAAACAATGCCAATCCTTTGAAAAAGATAAACCATTTTGGACACTTTTTGTTAAAATTTTTGTAAGAGTAGCAGAGAGGCAAAGTAAAATAAGAAAAAACTACTTGTAAACAAAATAAAAGAGTGTGAGTTTTTTTTATTAGAATTAACTATAGTTTACACTGAAGCTTAGTAAATAATAAACTCTAAACTTGTCAACAAATAGTATATAAGAACTATCTCTAAATAACAAGTGCTATGCCTGCAGTAAGCAATAAACTCTAAAACTACTAGCAGATAGTGTATAAGAACTACTTTTAAATAATAGTTGCTATTTTATAATCTCATTTCCCATATCTTATAGTCTAATATAGCTATTTAATTTAGAGAAATTTATATTTAAAAAAAACAATCAAATTGTAGTTTTTAATATTTGATTTGCAGACTTGTATAATATAACTTAAATACTAAATTCTAATTGGCTATATGTATTTAAAGAGGTTAGTATAATATAGAAAATCTTTTAAGTAAATATACAAAATATAGAATTTAGCACTAATGATTTTTTATAGCCAAGCTAAAAACATGTATTTAGAGAGATATTGTATTTATGAAGATTGCATTTATAAAGGTTTAACTGCATATTATTTTTGTTATTAAGTATAAGCTTCTAGCACTATATATTTTTTAAAAATAAAGTTTTTATATTTATATATATTTTTAGTAAAGTAGTAGAGTATAGTAAAAAAAACTCTTTCTAATTTATCTTTAAAAATCAAATTTTAAGTAAATAAAACATAATTAAACTCAGTATTATAATAAATAAATAATTTATTGAGTCCTTTGGGACAAAGAACAAACCAATAAAGCATTATAATATACTCTTTGACAAAATTAAATGTACAAAAGACTGCCTTTTCACCACTTTTCAAACCTTTAAGCCTTTTCTTATCCATAATAATTGCTTTACCCTAACTATGAATATTTGTACTCTAACTTCTAACCAGATCTTTAATACCTTCAACCAAGCACTTAATGACCTCCTTCTGTAAAAAGAAGTAGACAAAATGACCCCAATACTGCAGCTATGCAAACAAACTATTCTTTAACAATCTCTACTTCAATCATTCTTACAACACAATTTCGTAAAACACTATATCTTCTAAAAACAACAAACTAATTAGGGCCCTGGGCCTGTCCCAATTAGTGTGAGAAAAATTGCAGAAATTCCTACAACGATCACTATAACAAACACTGATCCCAATTTGGTACAACAACCTACTTCAGTAGCCAATCTACAACCTTTTGATTACTTGATGCTACTTAGATCTGAGAATACATTTACAACCAAATTCAACTTATTCATGGCCAACTCCCATCAACATCTATCTATAGATACTCATTCGAATACTACAATTAAATCTTTACTAAAAAAATCCTATACCATGGCACTTATAGACAACCAAAAACCCAAATCTAAATAAAAAGTTTTAAATCATCGAGATCTACACTAGTGTATTTTAGTTTTTAAAGATCTCGCAACACAACATATTAATGAATTTGATAAACTTCAATAGCAAATCAATCACATTATTTCTGTATTTGAAGATATTACTAAATTTGAAGAATTCTTTATTTATAAAATAATTTCCATTCCTATCTCCTACAACTTACCTTCTGCAATTAATGAAAAATTCGTCTACTTGGATATCGTTTTTTTTTTAAATCTTTTACTTATAATATCTTTACCTAACCACAATACTAAAGACTTACTTACAAATTGCAACTGAAAGATACAAACATTGTCATAATGTTCAATACATTAATAAAACCAAACAGAACCAACTCTTTCAAAGACTTAAGGAAAAACTTGTACTTGACTTTCTATATAATCTGAACTTTATGCTAAAAAGTCTTCATGATATTACAAGATATATCACCTACCTGACAAATTTTGCAAAAATCATCACACTTTTTGACTTTAAAAAATTAGAGCTACTCTAATCTCTGCTTATATTTTTCTTCTAAAAACCTTACCTTCTTTCTTGTATGGCATTCTCAACAATATTCTGCAAATCTTATTATTCAAACTACCTATTACAAACCACAGTAATACTAGAGCAGTTATTTTTACACTCCAAAAAATATATACTTTCAAAAAACTGTATAATAGCTACTTTGAAATCCAACTACTACCTCTTCCCAACTATCTCTCTAAACCTAACTCTGAAATATGAGATTTATTTTCTATAACTGAACCTTTAAAACTTGTATATCTAGTCTTATATTGTCAGAAACTAACCAAATACTATATTATGGACAAAAAAATTCCACTACCCTATTTTAACCTACCACCACAAAACCCTGCTTATCTAGCATATCTCAAAATCTAAACTTAGCTATCTGTTATTTATTTTTATATAATCCCAAAGACTCTACTGAATTCTGCTATTTTGTTAAAGTCCTTTGCCAACACTATAGTTTTAAATATATTCCTTCTGACTTCTTTGTTTAAAAACAGCCTTTTTCTCAAAACCCAATACATATAACTACTCAAAAATATTTCTTTTCTATCAATGATACAATACTTGCAAAAGAGTTTTTGGCATCTATACAAAACAAATATTATTTCACTCTACCCCTTCCTGAGCAATATATAATAGTCAACTCTACAAACAAATCTGAACTACTTTTGATTACTAACAAGGTAAAACTAATAAATATTACTATATCAATTACAAGCCCCAGAGTCTTAGTTAAAACTGTATACCTTTTAAGAAATTCAAACAAATTCTAGCTAACTGAATAAACATCTTACCAAAGTTCTTAATTAAAACAGACTATATCTTTCTACTATCTACACTAGATAAAATCAAAGCTATAATTAGCTACATATTTATATCTAAACCAATTAGTCTACTAGCCACCTCCCAACAACAAGTTGAAACTGCTATTATATTCTTATATACTTACTTTACCTTTAGAGGGGTTCCCTTTACATCATCAATATCTCTAAACTTTCTGTACCTAAATAGAAACTATTTAACAATTACATTCTCAATGAGTGAATTTACTAATATATATAATCAACTATCAGAAACCAACAACCTATCTGGCTACCACACACTCTTTAATACTTTACACTAACTATTATACTCCACCTCACTATCAAACTGACTCTCAATATTTTTAACTACAATATCCAAGACATTAACTAAAATACTATAATACAAATAAAATAAACATAGTCTTTCTAACAGAAACAAAACTAGCAGCATCTATTAACCTCATAGCTCTTACCAACTCTCTTTATAAGATCTATATATTAAATTGCAATCAACTTAATGCTAATATTCATGAATCATGTAAAGGTATTGCAATAGCACTAAAACCACTAATTCAACTATATATTCATAAAATCTGCATCATACCTAGTATCATCCTTCTTATCAACTTATACTTCTTCGCAAACAACAAGATGCGTCTCATATCATATATTCCTGAAAATAAGCTACTTTTTTTGGGCCAAAAATTACACAAAAATTTCCAAAGTAGCTTATTTTCAGGTATAATTTCAAAAAGTTAATTTTTTATTAGTTTTTAAAATCCGAAAGTAGTTTCTATATATAAAAGTCAAAATTTTACTATGTAAATTAATAAAAGGAGTTGTTTAGAATGTAAAAATACATATATTCTAAAAGTTTCAAGCAAATCGGGAACTTTTTACTAAGATGTTTTTGCATTTTACGTTTGAATGTAAAATGCAAAAACATCTTAGTAAAAACTTCTCCGTTTTGCTTAAAACTTTTAAAATATGTGTATTTTTACATTTTGAACAACTCCTATTAAGTGACTTTTATCGATCTACTTAGTAGAATTTTGACTTTATATATAGAAACTACTTTTGGATTTTAAAAAATTATCAGAGTAGCTTATTTTCAGGAAAAAAAAGTTTCTTATATTTCTCTTCCAAGAAAAGAGGAAATAGCTTATTTTTGGAGTAGCTTATTTTCGGAAATATACGGTAGCAACCTACTTACCATCACCCACAACTCCATTATTATATATTACCCAACAACAAATTATCTTCTAAATCAATGATAGTTATTTTTAAAACATGAACCTTGTAATTGCTAGCAACTTTAACTATAATTTCAATTGCCCCAACTACTACAGACAGTATCCTCTACTCCAACACCTTCTAACTATTGGCTTTATAAGTCTATTACAACTATATTATATTACTGAACCTATCTAGAACCAAAACTAGTTATCAAGCCAAATCAATAATATATAGATCTCTCTCGAAATCGCACTCTTCTTCTTAACTCTATTAATATCACTGATAGTGATTATCAAATACTTACCAACTCATGATATACACATTTCATAGTCAAACAATCTCATTACAAAAAACAGTACTAGAAAATCTACAACTATGACCATATAGCTTCCAAACTCTGAAAGAAGTTTGCCAAATTCATCTTAATTCATATTACAATATTAATAGCAAATTACCAACACACATTACCTAAATAAAATCTTCAATAATTTAAACAATATCATCAAACAAGCAGCTGACAAATTTATCTCATACACCTACACCAGCCCCTATACCTTTTACACTTATTCTTTTAAAGCTAGCTTCTTATATCGAGTACTTAAATATACTTTACAGAAACTAGCTATTTTTTTTCAATAGAGTTAAAATCATCTTAATGATATTAATACAATTATTAAAATTGTATCTTATAATAATTTTATAATAATTTTATAATAATTTTACTATATAATTAT